CTTACAAAACACCAATACGACATCATGTGTCGCCCCCCTGTGGCACCTGGAATTCCTAGCGATCTCCCATCCAAGAACTGCCCAGGCCCAGCCTGCTGAGCTTCTGAGATCTGACGGGATCAGACTCTGACAAGCTGGTATGGCCACATGGTTTGACATTATAATGTGTTTAATGTAGATTTGCACAAGTCTCACAGAAGCAAAACTTAAAACCACATGACTCATTTGCATAAACTAAGCGAAGAAAAAAAGCTCTTGTGTCGCTGATGTGGTTCAATTTCTGTCGGATTAAAAGACATGACTCAGGTGAATACAGGTCAGTGTGACCAGATTTGTGTTTGTCAAAACCAGGACAGCGTACGGGGGGAGGGGGGCGGGGCCTCGTCATCCACATTGAGCAACTCTCACCTGGAAAAACTTTATCCCACTGGACACTGACACATATGTGCTGCTTTATACACTGTGCACATGGACTCACACTTGTCCCGATCGGAACGATAGGCGGGAATTTCTTGTACAAATCCTGGTTAAATCCACATTTGTGCTTCGGTTCGTTACAGACTGACCCACTGTTTGTGTCTCGCTCCTTCTGATGCAGAGACACATGTACACACCTGTTTGTCCCCGGACACAGATGTTTGGTCTCCAAACACTACGCACAATGACCTACATTCGGTTTGTCGATTAAAAATGAATGTAATCGATGAAATTCTTAATGATCAATTATTGATTAATCGACTAATCATGCCCATCCCTAATAATTACAGATGATTATAAAGCTCAGACTGATTCCTGTGAGAATCCATCTCTCTGACACGTGCACACTTACATCTTACACTCCTGCTCGTCTTCAGCCTGGAAGTGGTACGTGCGATTATCTGAGGAAACAAACAAACACACGTCACAGAAAGAACGATCTGCTCAGACGACACGCACAAGGTTACAGGAAGAGAGAGGAGGGAACGTACGAGTGACCAGGTCGAAGGTTCTCCTGTCGTCAGGGTTGGGTCGCACCTGACAGGTCAGCAGGTTCAACTTGGCTGGAGGTCGGTTTATCTGAAAGACGCACACATCACTTTATTATAAAAGAATCAAGATGCTGAATTAACAAGAGGCACAAACAGCACTAAAATGTAAGTAGTACAGTTCTATCACAGACGTATCTGCTCGTCAACGCCTGATCTCGGAAGGATTAGAAGCAAAGCAAGTCCTGGCCTGGTCAGTGTTTGGACAGGAGACTGTTGGAAATACCAGGTACCAGAGAAAAAGCTCTTGTGCAAACTGTAATTACAACCTTAGGAACAACATGTCAACCATCTCGTCTACTCTTAGTGTGGTGTGTGTGTGTGTGTTGAAGTTTGTCAGTGTCATTATCGTTTTAAAGAATTGCCAAATTGCTCCAAGACGCAAAGAAGGAATTTAAGGAATGGAGCTCACACAGAGGTGAGACCGACGACCTGTTTCCAGAGTGACTCATGGATCTACAGAGTCCTGAACCTTCACGAGCTGCTCATTGTTCTCACCGTGCTGTGGGAAATGGTCAGACAGCCAAACTTCACCCCGCACTTCCTCTTCTGCCACACTTTACGGATCCTGTAAGGACACAGACATGAGTTTAACAATCTTTTGTATAAACAACACAGAGCTTTGTTTATGCAAATTAGCCATGCGGGTTTAAATTTAGTTTCTGTAAAACGTAAACACATGTGCGTGAAGCTGCATTAAACACATTATTTCTCAATGTGTATTGAAAGAAAGAAAAGCCGAGTACAGGAAATGTCTGTAGTGCGGTGGTAGGGAGGACCAATCACAGCTCGTATCGTCTGCGTCACTTCCCCTGTTGTCTGCGTCGTTTCGATGCGTAGTTAGAAAATTTTGGAGGTGCACATTGGTCGACGCAAAGGCTCTGCATAGGAGGTATGGGTCAACGCAAACTCTCTGCGTGGTGACGCCGACGATTTGACGCTGGACTGTAAATTGGCCTTCAATCAGATTTAACTTTTTGAAACTCCCAGATGAACATTTTGTTAGTATAAAACTTCACAGTAACTTCACATACAGAGCTCAGTATGAATGAGTACACCCAAATAGAAAAGTAATATTTTATACAATATGTCAATGAACACAAAAAATATTTGCAAAATGTGCACAGACTAAGTTTAATACAGCCTCTGTTGAACTTAGAACAAAAAATAAGATTAATAATATAACCTAGATTACATCATTTTCAGTTTTAGTGAAATGAGGGTGGGCTCCAAATGTGTAACTGAACAAACATTCAACCATAGGTGGATCTCATGACTCACTCCACAAGTGTCCATCCGTCGACTACAAAAGGATGTTACTTAAAACAAACCACTTCCCATTTCCTGCTGTCAACAAAGGCACCATGGAAAAGAAATGACACAAGACCTGAGAAAGAAAATTATTTCTTCACACCAGAAAGGTGAAGATCAGCAAAGCCTCACTGTTACAGTATTTTCCGGGTCATTAGACGCGCTCTTAAGCCTCCAACCCATCAAAAACCGACTGTGCGCCACAATCCAGAGCCACTCGAGTGTCCCAGTACGACTTCAGTAAACTACAAAGCCGCACCACCCGCAGAACACGCAAACACACACGGAGCAGACAGCGACCGCACAGACAAACACACCCACAGACACACTCATCACTCCACGCCGACAAGGAACGGAACGGAGGAACGAACCGAAAAAGTTCAATGTGCCGCTTCTAGACACGACTGAACAACTGAGTCACTGCGAACACGCCGACAATCCGTTGGTCCCAGACACACCCTCCCTACACGCCACAACTGAACAAAGCCCAGAGTCACTGTGAACGAACCAAACAAACAAAACCACTCACCCATCCACACTGTTGGGTTTCCTTTAAAGTCCCACGTGGTTTATTTGTGAAAAAAGTTCAAAAATAGACCATTTAATGACAGTGCTCCTTATAATCCAGAGCGACTAATAGCCTGGAAAATACGGTACTTTTCAAAGGGGTGTGCTCGTTTATCCTGAGCACTGGAAATGTATTCTGTCCTAGTGATTTTAAAAGCTCAATATCAGTTATCAGCCACAACAGAAAGAAAAATATTGAATACTGGTAAAAAATACCCATCCCTACTATTTCCCACATCGTGCACGGACGACCACATCGACCACATCGACCGGTTTAGGTCTGACGTGGCCTGATGTGAAAGTCCTTTTTAGATGCAGTAGCAGTTTGTAGATTCTCAAGATGATTCTCAAATCTGAACTCCCAATGAGGTTTGTGCTTTGTGTTTTTTTGTATGTCTAAAACTTGTCTTGTTGTGATATCGTATTGTCAAAAGTCTCTCAGTAAAATCGTGGACCATCACAATATATCGAATCACAAGTCTCTTTGCTTAAATTCATTGTTATGGTTCAGCAACAGATAAAAAAAAACAAGGGAACTACATTGACCATGATCCTTTGCTCCATTTTGGTGCAAACTACATGAAGAAATAGCAGTTCTAGGCACTTTAAGGGGAAAGTTTAAGGCATTTTAAGAGGAAAAAGAAGCATATTCACAAAAAATTGCAATAAATACATTACCGGGAGATAGGCCTGTAACAAAAATCTATAAATCAATTAATCGTATGATAACTTTTAATGAGCTCAATAACTTTTCTGGCCGCGATAAATTCTGTTTGCAGCTTGTTTGTTTTCCTCGTTCTCTCTCGCTCTCAATGAGACTGAATGTTGACTCGTTTCGTTTAACAAGCGTAATGACGCTTGAACCAACATGCGCTGAGTTTATCAACACAGCAGATGCTCGCGTAGCCTGAAAGCGCCGCTGTCTGTGCGGCTAAACATGAAGCCGCAACGTGAGCAAACGAGATCAGCGCCAAAACAAGTCACGATGCCGAATCAGCACTGGTGATCGGGACACGTCTCAACAGCCACAACAGCGAGTTAAAAGCAAACGACGAGAAGAAATGTCTCAAACCCCAACAGCTGATAAACCCAAACCCGAGCGACACAACTAACCCCGCCCCCGAGAAGAGCCCGAAATCCACTGAAATCCCACAAGACACCGACATGACACCAGACAGAACAGAGACTCCCTCATAGTGAAAAAGGATCCTGTGTCGTGGGTTAATACAAACATTGAAATGACCAAAATGACAAGACAACAGCAGCAGAGCAGAGAGAGACGAGACACTATATACCAATGCAAGTCAGACTAAAATCACTTTTAAAGGCAATATCTGGGTTTCACATGACGTCACAGGGCGACGTTTGTCAGCACAAAATCAGATGGACGGCAGGAAGTGAACTGACTGGAGGAAAATGCCGATGTGTTGTGTAGTTTACAGCTGTGCCAATTGTTCTAAACGAGAGAAGGAAAAGCGATTTTTTTAAGAGTACCGAATATAGTCGTCCACAAAGGTCAGAAATGGGAAAAGCCGACAGAACAACGCCGTAAAAAGTGGATTACAAACCTGTTTGTGGTCAGGAGGAGCAGAATTCGCTAATGCTCGTGTCTGTGGTGACACTTCATCAAAGGTTTGTTACAAAGATAAAATTGTTTTTTGTGGTTTACCTAAACATAAACGAATCATTAACGACTAACGGCGAACAACATTTGTTGACATTATATAGTTGGGATAGAGGTTACTGCCGATACACTGCAGTTTTTTCCATAACAAAACACTCACCCCGGCGAAGACCAAACGATAATCATCATTTAGGCGTTTCGCACCGAGGTTGAGGATCCATCCACTGACAAAAAAAGTTCTATGCCTCCAAACTTTTGTACTTTGCCTTCATCTGTTGTCTGGTGTAGAACGACGTCTGAAGAGATAAATAGTTGGTGATCTCCTCTGCCTCGATTGTCGGCAAATCTTTTACTTCGGTTGAAAATTCTCTCATTTTCAATAAGATCAGGGTCACGTCCAATATATTTGTCGACTAACTGCTCGTACTTTTGCCTCGCTTCTGCCTCTAAATCCTGACAATAAGAACTCTTCTCCACATCTGTGTTCTCCAGAGCCGTGTTTGTTGGTCGTGTTTGTCTTCACTTCCTGCCCTCCACCTGAAATTCGCGCATCATCGTGATCACGTGACTGAAACCCTCCTATTCTGTTACAGAGACTTAATAATCCATTTTATTTATTGCTTTGGTTGTATTTGGCTCAACAGTGGTTTATTCAAGTGCATTTTTGTTCACAGGTCCTCGCTGTCAGTCAGACACATTAGACTAGTCCTGTGTTAACAAGTCTGTTTTATTTTGGCCTGTTGTTTTTTGTTTGTCTTACACTTCCTGTGTTAAATGTTCTTTAGAAAGTCAAGTTTATTGATCTTTGAAAGGATGTATTTGCATTTTTATTCCAGTGTCATTATAACAGTTGAAATTGGTCTCAAAATGTCAATATTATTGTTTATCGCAATAAATTCTTGGTCAATTAATCGTCCAGCAAAATCTGTTATCGTTACAGGCCTAAATGTTTATCGTGAAAACAGAGAAAATGTTTGAGTAATAAAGTGCACGAGTCCACCCCCTATTAAAGAATGTGAGCCTGCAGCAGACACATGAGCCCCTGTGTGTGTGTGTGTGTGTGTGTGTGTGTGTGTGTGTGTGTGTGTGTGTGTGTATGACGTAAGCGCTCTCTCCCTGCGTTTCTCTCCAGCTGCTCTCCATTACAATCAGATGAAGATTCAATCCGGGCCTCTCCCCAAACTAAAGCACTTGGCCGCGTTCTCGTCTTCTCCATCTGTCATATACGACTCCACTGTGAGAGCGATTCAGCTTCACAGGCTTTTACATGCTTTGGGATGTGGAAATGGAACTTAATCGGTGCAGTCGGCGGCTCCAAAAGTCGAGAACGACAAAAGGAAGGTTCACGAGAAAACATTTAAAGCTGGAAAAGAAGCACTCGCAGTATTGTGTGTTTAAAAATCCTACTGTACGGGACTCAAATGTGACTTTAAATCACGTTCGAATGTTATTACCTCATCAAAAACACACCCAGAGCTGAGTTTTGTTACATTCACACGTTTGAGTAACACTTTATTTATTTTCAGATGTCATGCAGTGATAGTTTTTAGGTTAACAGCTACTTTTGACCTTTTGTTTAGTACAGATTGGCAATTGCAGAGCTGGAATTATCCAAATGAGTATAGTGAAAGTGTAAGGAGTTTAAAAACACAGTGGAGCACTTCCTGTATATATATATATATATTTTTTTTTATAAGCACACAGCTTAAATGTGCAGGATTTTTGTGTTAACAATTGTGAATGAAAGAAACCAAAACTCCAGCTATGGTTCTTTTCTGATGAGGAAACAACAGTGTAACAGATTAGAAAATAACATAAAATATTCCTTTTTATGTACAATTTCGACTTGATCTTAAGGTAAGTGTGAGAGATGTGATCAATTAATTTACAGTTACACATGATTGTTGTATGAAAGACTTGATTAATTAATTTACAGTTCTACGTGACTGTGGTGAATTAATGTAAAACTGTAATTGTTTTGAGGGTCACTGACACCCCCCTATTGTTTTTATGGTGTTATTATTTTAAATTCTGAACGTTGTGGTTTTTACGAGATGTATTTGAACGCCTGGCACAGTTTTTTTTAGTACGTGCCTTGAACTAGACTGAAGTGTGTTTTTACCGCAGCTCGGCACGGTATGAGAGCGGGGACTGTTAGAGCCGATTAAATCTTTTTGTGTGTGGCTTTATAATAAATATCCCCTGTGGAAGAGAACCTGAATCGTTTTTGTGCCTAAAGATCTGCAACATAAGTCTTCACCTCCAGATGTTTTAATGAGATGAGGTTAAAAATAACCACTAAAATGGAAGTGTACTGTACAGTCTCAAAACTTTTACGGTTCATTCAATGGCTTCTGTTTCAGTGAATAATCGAGTACCTTTAAAACATTTGATACCATGTACAAGAAACGAAATAATAATAAAATAAAAAAGTAGTCAAGAAAAAAAGAGAAATAGTAAATAGTTGTCATGTTACCCGTCGCTCTTCTTGAGCAGGAAGCCGGACTTCTCGGTGCCGTACTTCTTGTTGCCCTGAGGCTGGTGGATGCTGTAGCCGTTCCCTGAGTTCTTCCTGTTGAGGTACTCCTGAAAACATCACGAAACATCACAAAACATCATCATGCTCACGTCTCTGAGAGGTACAGAGGGTAAATAACCTCATTTCAATTCCCCTGTGTACATGACAGTAGGGCTGTCAGAAGAATTGAAAATCAGATACTAACTAATATTAAACTAGTGTCAAAACTACAGTAGGTAGGTACAGTTGGTTTAGTTGAAGACGTTTCTCAGCTCATCCAAGCTGCTCCTTCAGTTCTGGTCAGACTCTGGTGGACACTTCCTTATATCTGTCTGCAGGGAGGAGCTAACTACACTGAAACTACACTGAAACTACACTGAAACTAACACACATCTACTTGTTTACAGTTTCTGTTTGTTAGTTGGGCCTACTGACCTGAAATAGGTGTGTGGGGTCTAATTAACAGAACAATTCATGGCCATAATGGAGCTTCCACACCTCTGGACCTGACCTGGATACACCTGTTGTTCTCTTGTTTGTTTTGATTTAGGTTTGAGGATGGAGTTGTAAATGAGGAGAGATTTCTGTTTAGAGAAGGATTCTCTTTCTTTACAAAAATGGCTTCTTTCACTCTCCTCTCAAACCAATTCTTTTCTCTGGCTAAAATCTGCACCTCGCTGTCCTCAAATGAGCGGCCCGTGGCTTTTAAGTGGAGATTCAACCAAACTAACTTTTGTCCAGTCGACAAACTGAATTTTCTCCTCACCATGAACTCTACCTGATCGACTGAGGGATTCTTCACACACTCATTTGAACGCATTTGAAAGTATCAATACTCAAAAGGTCACAGTCACAGGAAGGAAATGAACTTCCTGAAAAGCTCTAGAATGATCTATGACTAAAGAGCAAAGCTGGATGACAGAGGGATTACACAGATTTACAGCCACATGGCAAGATAAAAAGATTTAATGTTAAAAATTACATTATTTTGTCTAAATAAAGTATGTTTTGAATTGGCACTGAGTCTCTGAATGTTTGGGTGAGTACAGAACCTCCAGTACCTCCTTCCCGTCGACCTGGACGAGCAGCCTCAGAGAGTCCCTGAGCTGCATCAACTTCTTCACCTCCTCATCCTGCTCCTGTCGCACCTGCACACACATTGGTAACACAAGTCACAAAATGTGCTCATCAACATGCACCTTCAACAAAATGAAGCCTGAATCCGTGGTGTAACAAAATTAGACTGGGCTGAGTGAAAGACGTGGTTTTAAATGTTTCAAAGCAGAAGAGGCTGAAATCTGCGTGAAGTTCAATATTACATCACAAACCAATGACCAGCACAACGGTTACAACAATCTGACCCTTCTCCTACAAACGAATGAATAAGTCTACGTTCAGACTGCAGGGTTTAACGCTCAATTCCGAATTTTTTCTGAAATCCGATGTTTTTTGCGAGGTCGTTCACATTTCCAATTAAATGTGACTTGTATGTGACTCCAGTGTGAACATTAAAAGTGTCCCACATGTGACACTGGAGACACGACGACGTCAACCGCAGCGAGCGTCTCTGTGTTTACAGAAGTTGTCCAAACATGGACGCAGCATCTAGCACCTGGAGATTTTAAAGTTCCTCTCGTACCGGAGCCAGAACATGAACAACTTACTTGTTTTAAGGAGGAGATTGAGAAGGAGAAGGACGAGGTTTTTGGCCGTGGTGTTTTGTGGGACAGAACGTTGAAAGGAACGTGTGGATGTGGAGATGGAGCCAAGAGTGGTGAGTGGAGATGTGCTTCACTTCAGTGACACGGAGTTCATTAACAATTTTCGCCAACTTCAGCGCAGAATAGTGACGTTTGTGTCTTGTTGATGACGTGTAGGTGGATGAATGCACTTTGGCCGTTCACACTGAAGTCACATGTCAAAAGATCAGATATGTATCAGTTTCAGGAGCACATATCCAAGTGTCCTGGGTCACATTTGAAAAAATTGGATCTGTGTCGTTCAGACTGTCATTAAAAGATCAGATACAGGAACATAGAAGCCAAAAAATCAGATTTGGGTCACTTCAGGTGCAGTCTGAACGTAGATTAAGGGAAGTATGGCAGAGAAATATCTTTTTTAAACAATAACATTCACCACATTGAAGACATCAGCATCAAAATAACATTATACACTCGGGGTGTAACAGTTCATGGATTCTTTTCGAGCTGTTTCTGTACAGGGCGTTGGGTTCAGTGCAGGGCTGTGCACAAGTGAGTTTGCGCAATTTGTGTGTGTTTATATTCCCCCATGACATGTGCAGCTACAACATGGATCTATTAAAATAACTGGAGGTGTTGCTGCTTGTCGCTGCCTCCAGTTGACATAGTGACACTCACTGGTACGACAGCGGGCTTCAAACTGCTCGTGTTCGTCTGACAGGGACAACTTTCCAAAATGTCAGATTTTGTGGCGATTTTTACCCATTTCTAGATTATGCACCATTTCTCATCTCAAAATCCTTCAGTCGTCTTAAAAAACTCTTTATAATCGTTCGCTCCGGCTCCGCTCTGCTCCTCTCGCTCTGATTGGTCAAAGTGATCACATGATAAACGAGCTCGCATTCTGTGTGTGAGCTCATGTGCGTTGGCATGTGCCCGCGCGAGAAAAGACTCTACTCCACATGCCAAAAGCCACCGGAAGATCCTCACCGGGCTAAAGGTGAGTCTGGAATCATGAGACATTGAGCTCGGCCCGTTGACTTGAACGGACGGCTACACGAAGGCTCGGCTTTTTACTCTTCATGAGGAACTCGTCCGTGATTGGTTCAGAGTTTCCCACAGCGCTTTATAGTTAGAGCGACGCCTTGACAACAACTGCCCCCCGACTTGACTACGTCCCTCCAAAACTACGGTCGTCGCGCTGCCGTCCTCACTTTCGCCTTTCACCAACAGACAAAGTTGTTTTTTCTGGCCAAAATTGGAAATGTTGGAACTGTTCGTGCTGCACTTCACTTTTTTAAAAGTTTTGTTTACTGTTTACAAGGAATTTATTTTTTATAATATTTCTTGGTGATTTGAGAATATTTGAATTTAACTTATTAGTATTACCAAGCTACAGAAGCCCTGAGCAGCAAGAGAAAAAAAACAAAAAAACTTTGGACTCTATTTTCTAATTGTTTTTTTTTTTGTTGTTGTTTTTTTTATTAGAATTTTCTTCTTCTTGTTATTATTATTATTTTTTTTTATTTATTTATTTATTTTTTAAAGAACAATTATTAGAACAATTATAGAACAAATATTATTATAAAAGAACAAAGAAATCGGTGCAAAAAAAAAAACAAACAAAAAAAAAACACTTAGAAAATAGAGTCCAAATGACGTACCTCTGTTTTTTTTCTCTTGCTGCTTAGGGCTTCTGTACCAAGCAGCACTTTGCATTTATTTTATTTTCCCATTTGTATAATGTTGAAACAAATTGCTGGTTTAATAAAAACACAAATAAGCAAATAGTTTGACATTTTGTTCCCAAACTGAACCGAAAATGAACCAAACGGTGACTTCAAAACCGAGGAATGTACCGAACCATGACTTTTGTACCGTTACACCAAAAGTTGGTGTAAAGGTCAGTTCTGGTCAGACGCTGGTGACACTTCCTTATATCTGTCTGCAGGGAGGAGCTAAATAACTACTCTGAAAATAAACAAAACAAAACGTCTTCAACCAAACTAACTTCTGTCCAGTCGACAAACTGAATTTTCTCCTTGCCAAGTTCATGTTAAAACATTGTGTTGAAATTGTATTTTTCTTAAAGTTTCAGGTTGTTCATAATATTATAATATTTTGTAAAAGAAAGAGTTCATCAATTCAAAAAGATTTCTGTAATAGATTTGTGTTTCTCTGCACAAATATTTGAGCTTATTGTTATTTTTGAGGTTTATATGACATGAGTTTTCTGATCCTGACACTTTGGGATCAAAGTCGGTTGGACACGACCCCCGGAACAAAATGACTTTGACGCTCCTGGTCTAAACACATTTAAACAGTCCACTCTCATCACGGACGATACTGACACGAAGAGAAGAAGAAACACATCGTGCAAACACTAAAACAACATCTATACCTCCACTGGGCCATAATCAAAAAGGAGACAACGGGTCAAAGACTAAACGAATAAATCACAACAGACCAGAAGAGGGCAGCAGGATCACACAGATCTACTCACCTGACGTCATGAACCCATCCAGACGACTACGAATAAACACAACATAATGAAACCATAACAAGAAACGTCAGCCGCTCCTTAAAGATACAACCACACAAGAAGAAAAATGTAACGCAACAGTGCAGAAACTGAAAGCGCAGAGACTGAAAGCAGCGTTTATTCCCTTTAAATGAGAATAAAGTAACACAAAAGCTGTTATTTAGACCTTAAGAAACTAACAACTTTGTGTAAATAAAAATATATAAACTTTCTGGGACGACTACGACTTATGGTCTTATTACTTGTGTTCAACCAGGATACCGGATGAAAGTGATATTCAGAAGCCTGTATCTGATCCAGCTCGTTTTTCAGTCTCGGCGTCAGTATCTGATTACAGTATCCCCTTACCTTAGGCAATATATGAAATTTAATGTAAATCATGTGGAAGATAAATAAAGGAGAAACAGGAAGGGCATTTCATATTTGCAAAAAAAAAAAGAAAAAGTAATGTGAGAAGCAAGCATCAAAGAGACTCCTGAACTAAAAATCAGGGGATCAGAAAACAACAAACACTGGATTAAATCAGAAAGTGAAGTACAGATCCCACTGATGTTGACGACACAACCCGTCTCCTCACACACACCTGCTCAGTCTGACACCACAGGAGACGTGAACGTTTTCATTGTCAGTGTTGTTTATTTTGTACGATCATAAACATTAAACTTCTGTGCCTGTTTTATCATCATTATCAGTTTGTATGAGCATAAACGAAAATATACTAGATATTTTAGATATACGTGTGTATGTATGTATGCAAGTATGTATGCATGCAAGTATGTATGTATGCAAGTATGTATGCATGCAAGTATGCATGTATGTATGTATGTATGCATGTATGTATATATGCAAGTATGTATGTATGCAAGTATGTATGTATGTATGCAAGTATGTATGCATGCAAGTATGCATGTATGTATGTATGTATGCATGTATGTATGTATGTATGCAAGTATGTATGCATGCAAGTATGCATGTATGTATGCATGCAAGTTTGCATGTATGTATGTATGCAAGTTTGCATGTATGTATGTATGTATGTATGTATGTATGTATGCAAGTATGTATGTATATATGTATGTATGTATGTATGTACCCAAGTATGTATGCATGTATGTATGTATGCATGTATGTATGCAAGTATGTATGCATGCAATGTATGCAAGTATGTATGCATGCATGTATGTATGCATGTATGTATGTATATATGTATGCATGTATGTATGTATGCATGTATGTATGTATGTATGCATGTATGTATGTATATATGTATGTATGTATGTATGTACCCAAGTATGTATGCATGTATGTATGTATGTATGCAAGTATGTATGTATATATGTATGTATGTATGTATGTACCCAAGTATGTATGCATGTATGTATGTATGCATATATGTATGTATGTATGCATGTATGTATGTATGTATGCATGTATGTATGTATGTATGCAAGTATGTATGCATGCAAGTATGCAAGTATGTATGCATGCATGTATGTATGCATGTATGTATGTATATATGTATGTATGTATGTATGTACCCAAGTATGTATGCATGTATGTATGCATGTATGTATGTATGTATGTATGTATGCATGTATGCATGTACATATGTGTATATTTATGCACTGAACACTACAGGTCAGCACTCCAAAGGTGTAAAAAAAAAGAAAATAAAAGTGTCAACCACGTGATTATCAATTCAATAATATTAATAAACAAATGTCGTAGGACACTATAAGTTTTTAAACTTCATCCTCCTTTTGAGCACCAGGTCCCAAACGCACATGTCCTTGTTCTTTGATATTGTTGTTGTTGCTCAAACAAATAAAAAGAATAATGAGTGTGAGACCACCAGGCGACAGGAGGAGTGTTGTACAGTTTGCACCTGAAGTAGAGTCACTATCACAAATGTGCACTTCATCCCAATCGGCGCAAACATACGTGAGGAACAACGCTCACATTTTTACTTTACTTTACTTCAAACTGGATTAACGGCGCTGTGTTGCCCTCTGCCCCTAACGCTCTGTTTTATTGGCCGTTGCCGTACGTGGTGATGTTTATTGGCTACACCACACACACACGAGTCTCGATGAGCTTCATTTGACTGAACACTGTGGGTGGCGTTACACTCAGTCCACTTCTTAACAGCGCCTGTGGTGTGACTACATGACTGATGACGGGGCGCGTGTTGTCATAATATCACGTGTTTATATGAGCACATGTTTGCACAATACACACAACACAACACAACACAACACAACAGCGCCGTGTCCAGAGGGAAGGACAGACGTTCAGAGTGTGTTTACCGTGTGAATGGAGGTGGCCAGTTTCTCTATGAACGGAGACAGGTTTTCTGCAGCTTTCAGCCCGTCTTGAAAGAAACTAGAGAAAAGAGAAAAGAGAGAAAAAGAGAGAGCTGCTGAGTCATGATTCATCTCAACAGGAGCTCACACACACACTGGTCGACCTCACACACACAGAGCAGAACACCAGGAGGGGAAACATGTGTACCGTATTTTTCGGACTATAAATGTCACTTTTTTCCTGGTTTGTGTGTTTCCTGTGACTTATTCTCTGGTGTAACTTATATATTAAAGTGTTGAGAGTGAAGTGTGGAGAGGCTCTAGTCTCGTGTGTGAGGATCTGCTGCTCCTGTTCCTCCTGCACCACTGTCACTTGGCTCTACTGCGCATGTCTCCTGCAGAAAGAGCCTCTGTCCCGTCTGTATCATGTCAGTCGATCGCACCGTTACTTCTGCACCACTGAACAATTTAACATTTAAACAAACTCATAAAGACAAAGACTGAGAAGACTGAACACAAACGCCCCCAAAAACAAAATCAGATTCTGCAGATTATAAACAGTGTTGGGAAGGCGACTTTTAAAATGTAATCCCCTACAGATTACAGATTACATACAACAAAATGTAGTGTGTAACGTAATCCATGAAATTACTTTAGGTGAGTAACGTAATCTGAATACTTTGGATTACTTGATTTGTTGTAGAGAAGCAAAGACGAGGAAATCGTAAAATAAGATATTTTGTCTGATAAAAGAAAATAAAAAGCTGTTAAATCCTGTTTTAGACCTGGTTTTAGTCCTGGTTTAGACCTGGTTTAGATCTAGTTTTAGTCCTGGTTTAGACCTGGTTTAGTCCTGGTTTAGACCTGGTTTAGATCTAGTTTTAGTCCTGGTTTAGACCTGGTTTAGTCCTGGTTTAGACCTGGTTTTGATCTAGTTTAGACCTGGTTTTAGTCCTGGTTTAGACCTGGTTTAGATCTAGTTTAGACCTGGTTTTAATCCTGGTTTATACCTGGGTTAGTCCTGGTTTAGACCTGGTTTAGATCTAGTTTAGACCTGGTTTTAGTCCTGGTTTAGATCTAGTTTAGACCTGGTTTTAATCCTGGTTTAGACCTGGGTTAGTCCTGGTTTAGACCTGGTTTAGATCTAGTTTAGACCTGGTTTTAGTCCTGGTTTAGACCTGGTTTAGATCTAGTTTAGACCTGGGTTAGTCCTGGTTTAGACCTGGTTTAGATCTAGTTTAGACCTGGTTTTAGTCCTGGTTTAGATCTAGTTTAGACCTGGTTTTAATCCTGGTTTAGACCTGGGTTAGTCCTGGTTTAGACCTGGTTTAGATCTAGTTTAGACCTGGTTTTAGTCCTGGTTTAGACCTGGTTTAGATCTAGTTTAGACCTGGGTTAGTCCTGGTTTAGACCTGGTTTAGATCTAGTTTAGACCTGGTTTTAGTCCTGGTTTAGACCTGGTTTAGATCTAGTTTAGACCTGGGTTAGTCCTGGTTTAGACCTGGTTTTGATCTAGTTTAGACCTGGTTTTAGTCCCGGTTTAGTCCTGGTTTAGCCCAAAATGTGAAAACAGGAAAATCCCGCCGTATAATCCATTTATTTCAACAAAGTAACTGTAATCCAATTACCACTCACTGAAACAGTAACTGTAACTGAATACAGTTACTCATCATTTGTACTCTGATTACGGAAGACAAAATGAACATCTTTGGTTGAATAATTCTAACTGGAACTGATGTCTGAGTCTGACGACAGCGACACAGAAGAGGAAGTGTCGCTCTGTTTCCCTCCGGAGGTCGAGTTGTTCAGAAGTGACACGAGGATGAAGAACTGAATGGATTTAGTGATTTGGAGTGAGATGGAGAGTTTGATAAACTTGTTCTGTTGTTTATGGAAATGTCGGTTCCTGATCTCTCATTTTATAACATAAATTTTCCCCAAAAAGTGCGACTTATATGTTTTTTCTTCTTCATTACACATTTTTTTGGTTGTTGCGACTCATAGTCCGAAAAATACGGTACATATACTACAGAAGTCCACACTGCGTCCACACTCTGAAGCTTCTGTGGACCAGAACTGACCTGAGCTGGACCTGGAAGTACTTGATGAGGCTCTGCAGGAGGTCCGGGCCCTGGCGAACCTTCAGCTCCTGGATCTTCAGGAGATACTGTTGGACAAACGGAGAGAAAATGTGGAGGTTCAAATGAAAAAGAATCAAAAATTTCAGAAATTTCAATGTGGCAGAAGAAAAGCATAAAAACAGCAGTAAAAGAAAAACTAACAAAAATAAGTAAGATTCAAAAACGATTCAAAAACAGGACTTAAACCAACCACTAAACTATAATATTTCCCCCATACCTGATCAATAAAATACTAAAAACTGATATTGTATAATAAAATACAGAGCAGTGGATCCCAAACTGTAGTAAAAATGTCATCATTGAGTGTGTTTAAATGCACATCAGTCTCCCGGTTATTCTCCATATCCCGGTTCTGTCAGTGTTCGTGTTACTGCGTTTACATGCGCACTGAGAAACCGCGTGTACATGATCAAATGGAGTATCCCAGTTTCTTGACATAATCTTACAAATGCACAAGCGCAAAAATTAACTTAAATCAATTTAATAAACCAAGAAAAATACAAACCATGAGCTACTTTAGCATAAGAAGTTAAGGAGCTGTGAGATCTCCCACATTAAATCTTCTGCATAAATAAACTCAACTTTACAACATATAAACCAGAACCACTGTGGAGCCACATCAGCCCGTTTTTGTTTACATTTTACAGAAACGACACTTAAGACCACATCGCTGATTAGCATAAACTGTTAGCGCTGATAAAAACAGCTGCTCCTTGTGCCACTGATGTGGTTCAGTTTCTTTTGGACTAAAAGACACGACTCTGTGGATTATGTGTGTTCTTTTTGTGACAGAAGAGGTGCTGATGATGGTGAGTCTGTTCTGTGTGTATATTAGGGTGACCATATTTCCGTTTGTGAAAACCCAGACACCTTGGGGGAAGGGGGGGGGCTGTGTATTACAGGCGGGTAGTAATTACACACGGGTGGGTCAGGACTAAACCAGGTCTAAACCAGGACTAATCTTGGATTTAAGAGAAAACGCCGAACAGTTTGTCCACAAAGTGCCATCGGGCAACTGCTGCGTTTAACTCCATGAGGTGCGGAGCTGAGCCGGTCCTTTCTCCTGCGTCACCTCCGAGCCCGTCCTGACACTGAGTCCTGTTTCAGTTCTGGTTTAGTCCTGTTTCAGTTCTGGTTTAGTCCTGTTTCAGTTCTGGTTTAGTCCTGGTTTAGTCCTAGTTCAGTTGTGGATTAGTCCTCCTCTTCAGTCCTGGAATCAGTCCTGGGTTAGTCCTGGTTTAGTCTTGGTTCAGTCCGTGGTGTAGGCAGCACAAAAGTTTGATATAATCTCGGGTTAACAGGCAGGTGCGGTCCTGTCCTGGCGGGTGCGGTGTTGTACTGGGGGTCTCCAAACATGGACCCGTGCAGGACTCTGCTCTGTTGGGCTCCATTATGGAATAAATGAATCTTGAGTTTGTTATATAAAGAAGGAGGAAAATAACACAAGGACGACAGCAGAAACAAGTTTTAAGAAAGAAGTAAAAAGGAACTGGAACTGTCCTGTGTGAGAAAAGTGTAGAAAGTTTTTGGTCAGGGGTTTTACAGACTTAAAACAGATAGAATAATTGTTAAATATAAAGTTGACGACTTTGCGGATTTCACCGATCGTGGGAATTTCTTGTACAAGTCATTGTTAAATGCACATTTGTGCTTCGGATATGTTTCAGACTGACCGACTGTTTGTGTCTCGCTCCTTCTGAGTCACAGACGCTACGAGAGACGCTCAGTTTAATGAACGGTACTGAAAACCCGGACATTTGCATCACTTTATAAAAAAAAACCCGGACGCCCCGGACATGACACAAAATATGGACATGTCACCCTAGTGTATATCGTACAGGAGATAGTTCATGTTTTAACTTTTCAGCGTCACACGAGTGCAGATTGTTCATGTGCAGGTTTAGTGCAGCTCTTAATTTTACTGTCATTTCACTCATTTGATCACTTTATTTATGTTGGTCAATTTATTTATGTCACTACTGTTGTGTGAAAAGACTGGAAAGTGTTTTTTGGACACATGCGCACTCAACTTTATGTTTCAGTAACCGGGATACTGCGTTTACATGTCACAGTATCCACGTTACTATCGGAATAAACCAGCTACAGTGTCAGTTTCTAATAACCAGGATACTGCCATAACCGGGTTACTGAAACCGGGTTACTGCGTTTACATGCACCATGAAGAAACCGGGATACTCAAAAAACCCGATCATAACCGGGTTATTTATGTGCATGTAAACACACTCTGTGTTATTATGTAGAAAACCTAGAATATCCTAAAATAATACACACACTTCAATAGAATCTATAAAGTAAGATTAGAGATAAAGATTAGATGTTAAACACTGATTTCCAGCAAAAGTTGTGGATTAAATTGCAGCTAAAAAGGTGTTATTTAGTTTTAGTTTAGTTCAAATTTCTTATCTATGAGTGTGAGTTTCTTGAAGGATCTTCAGACGGCAGATGGGACATTGGGACATTTATAAATCTGCACGTTTCACCTGTTGACTTTGGTCTTAAACTAAATCAGAGTGAAGTAAACTCGGGTCTGACCTCACACATCTGCAGCTGGAGGCTCCTCCTCTCCCGCTCCATGTCCTCCCCCTGGTCCGGACTCTCCAGGCGGATCAGGCCCAGCGCTCGGCTCTTCTCTTTCCTCTCCTTGTCCAGTTTCCCTCTGATGAAGAAGAAACACAACATAACCAGGTTTGATCATTTACAAATCACAACACACAGCAGAGGTTTTCAAAGATCTGACTGGAATCCAAATGTACATGGAAAATTCCAAAATCTCGCAAAAGTTAAATATTAACATTTTATTTTCTTGGTCTCTTGTAGTAATAGTAAAGCAGGTAACAGTACATGTGTTCTGTGAACAGTGTCGGGAAGGTGACTTTTCAAATGTAATCCCCTACAGATTACAGATTACTTACCCCAAAATGTAGTTTGTAACATAATCCATTAATTTACTTAAAGTGAGTAACGTAATCTGACTACTTTGGATTACTTGATATTGTCATTTAAAAATATATATTGTCATGTTTTTTAAAACTATTTGAATGTAACAACCACATCCTGAAAATGACTAATACTTGACCACATAAAAAATATTACTGATAGAGAAATTATTTTTATATGAAATCACAATTATGTCCACCTACTGTTAAGTGTCATATTGTATTAGTTTAGTCCTGGTTTAGATCTGGTTTTAGTCCTAGTTTAGTCCTGGTTTTTAGTCCTAGTTTAGTCCTGGTTTTAGTCCTGGTTTTAGTTCTGGTTTTAGTTCTAGTTTAGTCCTGGTTTAGTCCTGGTTTTAGTTCTGGTTTTAGTCCTGGTTTAGTCCTGGTTTTAGTCCTGGTTTAGTCCTAGTTTTAGTCCTGGTTTAGTCCTGGTTTAGTCTGGTTTTAGTTCTAGTTTAGTCCTGGTTTTTAGTTAGTCCTGGTTTTTTAGTTTAGTCCTGGTTTTAGTCCTGGTTTTAGTCCTGGTTTAGTCCTGGTTTTAGGTTTAGTCCTGGTTTAGTCCTGGTTTTAGTCCTGGTTTAGTCCTGGTTTTAGTCCTAGTTTAGTCCTTAGTTTAGTTTAGTCTGGTTTAGTCCTGGTTTTAGTTTTCTAGTTCTAGTTTAGTCCTGGTTTAGTCCTGGTTTAGTCCTGGTTTTGCCCAAAATGTGAAAACAGGAAAATCCCTCTGTGTAATCCATTTACTTCAACAAAGTAACTGTAATCCAATTACCACTCACTGAAACAGTAATTGTAACTGAATACAGTTACTCATCATTTGTACTCTGATTACTCTGGTACATGTAATCTGTTACTCCTCAGCGCTGTCTGTGTATTTTAATTCCTGTGGGCTCAACTCTGCTTCAGGGGAACATTTATTCTCTTTTATGATTTATTTGCTAAATTATGTTTAATGTTTTTATGGTTTTTCACAGCGATGAGTCTGGATTTGTTTATTTGCAACTATAACTCAACTATAAAGGCCAGTTCAGTGACGTTTTTGTACCACTGGAGACAGTTTCTTAAAGTAGAACATGACAAAACAATTTGAGTCAGTCGATATAAACAACACCAGAAAACAACAAACCACCAAGTCTGGGATGAAATCAGAGCAGTGTGACCAGAAACGGTAATAAAGAAGGTTTTACTATGTATTTCTGACCAACACAAAACGTTTAAATGTTTAAATACAAAACGTTTAAAGGTTGTATGGAGGATTTTTTTTGTTTCAAGTTGTCAGTGATAGATTATAGATGCAGTCGCCTTGTAATTATGATGACCAAAAAAAAGAGAATAAAAATTCATCAACTCTGGACGTGGTGGGGCTAAACATTTGCCAATAGATAACGACACTGCCTCGTTATCTGTGAGCTGACAGGCTGTCAATCAAACTCCCTACGTTTCTAGTGTAACTGACTTGCCTGCGCCGCCGGTACGTGGTTTACGTACGACTGTCACACAGTCCACAGACGCAAGACGCACAGACGCTGTTTACTCCACCAACGCAACAGTTCTTAGAGGCTTTTTTTGACCTATATCTTCCTCGCAGTTCGCACAAAGTTTGTTGCGATGGCGACAAGAATCCAGGAGCAGTTCGCCGCAAAAGAAAGTCCGTTTTTGAGGTGAAAGAAGAAGACAAGGGGAAAAGCAGCGAAGCCAAACTAAGGTCATTCTTGAAGATTCATTCCAGCGATGGCGCGACTGAAGCAGACGAAGAGTCTAAAGACTGAACCACTGGTCCACAAATTACTCCTGGACAGGAAACTTCTGCTTATTATGAAAACGTACTTTATTTCCAAGAGCGAGACAAACGTTTTTCAGGACATGAATGTGATATCCTATGTCTGAAAACGTAATTTTCAAGGCAAAGAAAGAGTCCACTTGCTGCTGCGTGTTGTAGTTAGTTCATTCGCACTGAATCTCCGCGCACTCTTCTCTGCTCCCCTTTCCTGCTCCTCTCCCCGCTGCCTGATCCACTCTTCTCCCTGCTCCTCACTTCTCGTCCGCACAGGAAATGTCCGCACACCCCCTACCCCTGCTCCGCTCTTCTTCCCGATCCGCTCTTCTCCGTCTTGTCTAACCAACACTGTAGTTAGTTGTTTACAAGTCATGTGCAGCACCGGCTGTAAACAAACCTGTTTGTGGCGTAAGGAGGAGGAGGGAGGAGGTGTTTCTACGTAGGAGCTGTAGGGGAGGGGGGGTGGTTTCACACATGAGCAACATTTGAAAAAGGACAAACAGTCGTTGGATTTTCTCGTTCCTTGGAAAATCCTCTATACAACCTTTAAGGCCAAATAGTGGAACAAGCCATAACATTAAATTTTCATGGTGACAAAGTAGAGAACCTTAACCTTTTTGTTCACCAGGAACTAGGGACGGGCATTCGATGAAATTCTAAATCGATCGTCGGAAGAATTAACGATCAATTATCGATTAATCATTAACGTTTTTATATTAAAATGATCATCATTATTATTACTATCTGCACTAATCTGCATCAATAAATTCAACTTTACGACATATAAACATAACGACTCTAGATCCACATCAGCTGTTTGACATTATAATGTGTTTAATTCAGTTTTGTTCAAATCTCACAGAAACAAAACTTAAAACCACATCACTAATTTACATAAACTAAGTGAAGATAAAACTCCAGCTCTTGTGTCGCTGATGTGGTTCAACTTGTGTTGGATTAAAAGACATGACTCAGGTGAATACAGGTCAGTGTGACCAGATTTGTGTTTGTCAAAACCAGGACAGCGTACGGGGGGAGGGGGGCGGGGCCTCGTCATCCATATTGAGCGACTCTGACCTGGAAAAACTTTTTCCCACTGGACACAGAAACATATGTGCTGCTTTATCCACTGTGCACATGGACTCACACTTGTCCCAACGCAACGGAAAGTGTGGAATTTCTTCTACAAAATAAATCATCGTTAAATCCACATTTGTGCTTCGGTTCGTTACAGACTGACCCACTGTTTGTGTTTGTGTCTCGTATGGAGTAAGAAGCTGTCAAAAATATTCGCGTGCATAGAACAGAAATCCGTGCATATTTGGCTGTAGTTGTGCATAAAATAAATATTTGTAAACTCTTAAATGAGTCCAGTCGTACATAAAATATATTGTTTGTATTTTATCCATCAGAATACAAATTGAAAAATTACGACGTCATGAATTACAATCACGAAATGAAAATTTACGATTCCGCTTTCATCAGTACGAATACGAATTCACAGACGGAATTTTACTGTCAAAAATACATCATCACTTCACAGACATTATCCATCGAGCAGAAGAAACATCGATCAAGATCAAGACTGTGCAGCTCAAGTTTGTATCAGAGTAAAAACAGAGTAAAAGCACAAGAAGCTACAACAGAACAACAAGTGGGTTCATTAAAATCTCCGTTTCGTATTCGTACTGATGAAAGCGTAATCGTAAATTTTCATTTCGTGATTGTAATTCATGACGTCGTAACTTTTCAATTCGTATTCTGATGGATAAAATACACACAATATATTTTATGTACAACTGGACTCATTTAAGAGTTTACGAATATTTTATTTTATGCGCAACTACAGCCAAATATGCACGGATTTCTATTTTATGCGCACGAATATTTTTGACAGCTTCTTACTCCATAGTCTCGCTCCTTCTGATGCAGAGACACATGTACACACCTGTTTGGTCACGTTACACACAGACACATACATTCGGTTTGTCGATTAAAATGAACGTAATCGATGAAATTCTTAATGATCAATTATCGATTAAAGGTTGTATGGAGGATTTTTTTTTTGTTTCAAACTGTCAATGAAAGTTTAAAATACCATTACAGAGACACAGCGGCTTTGTAATTATAATGACCAAAAAAAAAAGAATGAAAATCCATCAACTGTGGACGTAGTGAAGCCAGATAAACATCAGCCAATAGAAAACGAGGCTCCCTCATTTTCTATTGGCTGTTAGGCTGTCAATCAAACTCCCTATGTTTCTAGTGTAATTGACTCATCGGCGCGCTGGGATTACATGGTTTATTCAGCAGTTCTTAGAGGCTTTTTTAAACTGTAGCTTTTACGCAATTCGCACAAAGTTTGTTGCGGTTGCGGATGAGAATCCACGACCAGTTTGTCGCAAAAGAAAGTCAGTTTTTGAGGTCGCTGAAAGACGAAGAGAAGGGGAAAAGGAGCAAAACCAAACTGGGGTGATTCTTGGAGATTCCTTCCAGTGATGGCGCGACTGAAGCAGACGAAGGGCCTAAAAACTGATGTGTCAGTCGCTAAATTATTTCTAGACAGGTCACTTCAACAGTAATTCTGAACACGCACGGCTGTAAACAAGCGTGATTTCTAGAGTCAGGAGGCAGGAGGAGATGTTTCTGCTGAGGCTGTGGAGGAGGAAGGTGGTGTCACACATGCACAACATTTGAAAAAGGACTGTGGCTGTATTTCTCTTCCCTTAAAAAATCCTCTATACAACCTTTAATCGACTCATCACGCCCATCCCCACTAGGAATATTGATGTTGTTATGTTTACTGTATCTAACTGTTTTATGTTTATTGATTGCTAAGTTACGCCATCTAGTGGTCGCTTTAATTTATTCCTGTGATAATAATAGTAGAAGAAGAATGTTAGACAGGAAGTTGTTGTTCAGGCCTCACTCCTCCAAAATGGCCGCCCTTTGGTTCTGTTGAGTCTTTTTGGTGTTTGTTCAAGCATCGTCTGTGAGTATTACATGGTGAAACATGATTGTACACCTTTAATATTGCCTTTGTGTTAGAAATGTAAAAGTTAGCACGTTTTTGGTACACCATTATTATGCAAATTTGTCCGCGATTCATATGCTAATTTCGCTATGCTAACCGTTATGCTAACTGCCTAAATTCATTGACTGTTACTTTAATTGTTGGTGCTTTTTGTAATTTGTAATTTATTTGGCACATATATTAATGGCTATTTTTGTATGTGTTTGCTGTTGTAGTTTCACGGGACAAAGAACCAGTAAATTTCACCAAAGCCAGCCGCTCTCTGTGAAGTTCTTCTGGGTCTACGTTTAACTGTTTGGATAGCTAGTGCAGCATCTAGCAAGGCCATTTACAGATGTATTAAATAAAAGGTCCTTATATTCCACAAAATTGATTCTTGTGACCTTTAAGCCACGTCAGAAAGTTGTTACCTCATAAAAAACATAACAGTCGTGTTTTGTTTCATTCTCACATGTCTGAGTAACTCTATTATTCACGTGTCCACGTCTCCAAAGCTCAAAACTCTCTGTTCCATCTTGTGATGTCTTGAAGCAGCAGCTCTCAAGTCAGCAGCTGCATCTGACCTTTAGTTCAGTAGAGTTTGGAAAATCCAGGGCTGTAAAGGTGGAACAGTGTTTTTAATTTGACTGAAGAACTAAATCCTGGTCTAAATGTGCAGGTTTGTGTGAATGAAACAGAACACAACTCCAGGTTTGTTTGTGATGAAGAAACGACATCAGAGCATCAGAAAATAGCCGTCATACGGGACATTTAAAAACACAAAAGGTGAATCTATCCATCGGTTTATTTATCTATGTTTGTGTCCATCTTATTTCCCACAGTTGTGAGCGAGACAGAACACAAATACCCGGTTCAGTCCTCGTTTAGACCTGGTTCTGTTCTGGTTTAATCCTCGTTCAGGTCTGGTTTAGGTGTGGTTCAGTCCTGGTTTAGTCCTTGTTTAGTCCTCGTTTAGTCCTGGTTCAGTCCTGTTTTAGTCCTGTTTTAGTCCTGGTTTAGACCTGTTTTAAACCTGGTTTAGTCCTGGTTTAGTCCTGGTTTAATCCTGGTTTAACCTGGTTTAGTCCTGGTTTAGTCCTGGTTTAGTCCTGGTTTAGTCCTGGTTTAGTCCTGGTTTAGCTCTGGTTTAGTCCTGGTTTAGTCCTGGTTTGGTTTAGACCTGGTTTAGACCTGGTTTAGTCCTAGTTTAGTCCTTTAGACCTGGTTTTCCTTGTTTAGACCTGGTTTAGTCCTGGTTCAGCTCTGGTTTAGTCCTGGTTTAGTCCTGGTTTAGACCTGGTTTAGTCCTGGTTCAGCTCTGGTTTAGTCCTGGTTTAGTCCTTGTTTAGACCTGGTTTAGACCTGGTTTAGTCCTTGTTTAGTCTGGTTTAGTCCTCGTTTAGTCCTGTTTTAGTACTGTTTTAATACTGTTTTAGTCCTGGTTCAGTACTGTTTAGACCTGGTTTAGACCTGGATTAATCCTTGTTTAGACCTGGTTTAGTCCTGGTTCAGCTCTGGTTTAGTCCTGGTTTAGTCCTGATTTGGACCTGGTTTAACCTGGTTTAGTCCTAGTTTAGTCCTGGATTAGACCTGGTTTAGTCCTTGTTTAGACCTGGTTTAGACCTGGTTTAGTCCTGGTTCAGCTCTGGTTTAGTCCTGGTTTAGTCCTGTTTAGTCCTTGTTTAGACCTGGTTTAGACCTGGTTTAGTCCTTGTTTAGTCCTCGTTTAGTCCTCGTTTAGTCCTGTTTTAGTCCTGATTTGACCTGGTTTAAACCTGGTTTAGTCCTGGTTCAGTCCTGGTTTAATTCTAGTTTAGACCTGGTTTAGTCCTGGTTTAGTCTTGGTTTAGTCTTGGTTTAGTCCTTGGTTTAGTCCTGGTTTAGACCTGGGTTTAGTTTCTGGTTTAGTCCTGGTTTAGACCTGGTTTAGACCTTGTTTAGACCTTGTTTAGTCCTGGTTTAGTCCTGGTTCAGACCTGGTTTAGTCCTGGTTTAGTCCATAAAAGCGCAAAAGTTCTACATCTTCTTACAGTTATTTTGTTGAGAATAAGTTAAAGTTCTGTAATATTCGTGTAATATTTTACATTTTAAACACAGTAATATTCTAATGTAACTGATCACTTTGAAAACAAGTCGTAAATAACAATAACAGTTTTGAAGTCACTTGGCCGACATTACTCAAGAGCCGTAACAGTTCACTGTACAAACAAACCAACTCAAAGTCTCTACAAATCAAATATGGAGTGCATTAAAAAAAATAATAATAATAAATAAATAAATGTATGAATCACGTTTGGTGTGTGCCAAAAAGTCCACTCACATCTTGAGGTCGTAATCCTTCCAGCTCTTCTCCATCTGTTTCTTCAGTTCCTGGAAAAGACACTTTTATTCACTTTTATTCACTTTTATTAAACTTTGTGAGAATCTGGCTGCACATTTATAACACAAAAAAACACTTGCACATCACGAAGACTGAGATCGTGTCATGGACAGTGTCGGGAAGGTGACTTTTAAAATGTAATCCCCTACAGATTACAGATTACACACAACAAAATGTAGTTTGTAACAGAATCCATTAAATGACTTAAAGTGAGTAATGTAATCTGATTACTTTGGATTACTTGATTTACTGTAGAGAAACAAAGACGAGGAAACTTAACCGTATTAAAAATATTATTGATAGAAGAGGAGGAGACACGTCCACGCAGCAGGGACTAGTCCTGTTAAATCCTGTTTTAGACCTGGTTTAGATCTAGTTTAGTCCTGGTTTAGACCTGGTTTAGACCTGGTTTTAGACCCGGTTTAGACCTGGTTTTAGACCTGGTTTTTAGTCCTGATTTAGTCCTGGTTTAGATCTAGTTTAGACCTGGTTTAGTCCTGGTTTAGACCTGTTTAGCACTAGTTTAGACCTGGTTTTAGTCCTGATTTAGTCCTGGTTTAGACCTGGTTTAGACCTGGTTTTAGACCCGGTTTTAGACCTGGTTTTAGACCTGGTTTTTAGTCCTGATTTAGTCCTGGTTTAGATCTAGTTTAGACCTGGTTTAGATCTAGTTTAGACCTGGTTTTAGTCCTGATTTAGTCCTGGTTTAGACCCGGTTTAGACCTGGTTTTAGACCCAGTTTTTAGTCCTGATTTAGTCCTGGTTTAGATCTAGTTTAGACCTGGTTTAGATCTAGTTTAGACCTGGTTTTAGACCTGGTTTTAGTCCTGATTTAGACCTGGTTTAGACCTGGTTTAGTTTCCAGCAATGAGTGGAATTACTGAAAAAAAAATAAAAAAATAATAATAATAATAAAATAAAAATAATGTGAAAACAGGACATTACTGCCATGTAATCCATTTATTTCAACAAAGTAACTGTAATCCAATTACCACTCACTACAGTTACACTACTCAATACAGTTACTCATCATTTGTACTCTGATTACTCTGGTACATGTAATCTGTTACTCCCCAACACTGGTTATGGATTTGGTTTTTAAATTGCGATTTCTGCCCAAATCAGTAAAACCACGTTGTAAAAAGCAGCTATTAAATTAAATCTGAATCATAAACCTTCATTTCACGGTCGACTCAAACGACTATGACAATTACGTCCCAGATAATATTCTTTTTTTTATCATTTTTGTCGATCAAGCACGAGAGAGAAACGCACGACGGAACGAAATGTTTTCCTCAACGCCCAGTGATTCAAAGAGATAAGAACAAACATAAATAAATGAATAAGCAATATTAAAAAGTACTTAACAGTTCCAATAAATAAGTACAAGTCAAACGTGTGGAAGCCTAAACAGAGAGTCAGTGTGCAGTGTTCAAAAGTCGCACAGCCTCAGGAAAAAATCTGGACTTTTGAGCAGTTGAAGTTTACACAGTGGGAACTATTACAGCCGCTCTATTATGTACACAACCAGTCAAAGGTTTGGACATGTTTGGACTTGTTTCTTTATTATTTATGCTTCTTTTCATGCTGATTTAGACGGTAAATTCTCACTGAAGGCGTCAAAACTATGAATGAACATGTATGAAATGCACCAAATAAACTACCGTATTTTTTGGACTATAAGGCGAACTTAAAATCCTATAATTTTCTCAAAAATCTACACTGCGCCTTATAATCCGGTGCCGTCATGTATTAATTCTGGCTGTGTGTGGCTAAAAATTTGTCAAAATGTTTTAATTTGACATACAAAGCTGCACCACTTGACGGATTGTTGGAGAAATCCATTTTCACTAAGACAGGGAAGCAACGCCGGCCGAGTCACACCACCATCTGCCGATGTTCAAACTACGTCTAAAAGTTTCTGTGTGTCTATACGTGGTGTAAAACTCTGAAACAGTCTGGGTACACGTCTCAAGCAACGCCAAAATATTCATAAATTCAAGTTGTTCTATAAACATTTGGTCTTAATTTTAGAACAATATTTCCTTCTGTAGCGCTGGTTTGTGTTGTCCGTTACCATTGTTAGTTTCCTTTTGTGTTATTTCAATACAGTCTGTTACCAAACTATAACAGCGACTCTTTGTCTGCGTCTGTAAATAGTTCATATAGTTTAATTCAAAATGTCTGAAAAACATAAAAGAAAATTCATTGTGTTAGATTATGAAGAGTAGGGGTGGGATTACATACATTTTCTTCTCCTTTTTGGGCAAAATAATAATAATAATAGTAATTTTTTGTTGTTATTTTAATTTCTATTATGATTTCACTTATGTTATATGTTTCATTGTATATGAATGTAAATCTTACTTGCCCCAAATAAATAATAAATAAAAATAAACCTTCACCAAGACAGGGAGGCAACGCCGGCCGAGTTACACCACGATCTGCCGATGTTCAAACTACGTCTAAATGTTTTGTGTGTCTATACGTGGTGTAAAACTCTGGAACAGGCTGGATCCACGTCTCAAGCAACGACAAAATATCCATAAACTCATGTTGTTTTATGCACATTTGGTCTGGTCACAGTATATGAAGAGTTGGTCTTCATTTTAGAACAATATTTCCTTCTGTAGCGCTGGTTTATGTTTGTCGTTTCCGCACCATTGCAGGTTTGTGATGTCTGTTACCGTTGTTGGAATCCTCAAGTTTTATTTCAATACAGTTCTGTTACCAAACTATAGGCGAGTTTCACTGTTGCTGGGAATTATTTTGGTCGGCGGCAAGAAACACTAATTCAACATGACGGACGGAGCGAGAAAGCACGTAAAGGGTATTGATCCCGGTTATTTATCCAGTCTAACGGCAGACGACCCAAGACCATTTGACCAGAAATTGGTCATAAGCATCGACGGACGACAAATCACCCTTTTCAACCCCGACAAAAGGTGGAACAAACCAAATTTCTGGTCTGAATCTCCAACTACCTGGACAAATATTCACTTGGGCGATGTCCACAATGACTTGGTGGAAACTCCTGGGCCATTCACAGCAGAAAAGATGAAAACCTCCAAGAGTCTGGATGTGTTGTTGAACTTGTTGGAGTCCACGGTTTGTTAGGATCTTCTACGTTTGCTCTGCGGATGTTTGAAAGTCGTTTAATTCACCGTTAGCGGTTCTTTTCACTCAGAATACGAAAAAGACATTTTCCTTCTTCCGTGCTTCTATTTGTGCATCCGATAATGCAGCAGGAATTTACCATTATCGGGGAGAAATACGCGAGGTTACGCACTGTGTTTGACGCTACCGTGTTTCTTGTCTCCGACCAAAATATTTCCCAGCAGCAACGCGGGCTTTTAATAACAATGACGTCAGCTGAAACTCGCCTATAACAATGACTCTTTGTTCGGACTTGTAAATAGTTCATATAGTTTAACGTAAAATGTCTGAAAAACGCAAAAGAAAGTTCATCGTGTTAGATTGTGAAGAGTAGGCGTGGGATTAAATAAGTTTTCTTTTTCCCACTCCTTTTTGGGCCAATTTTTTTCTTTTTTGTTGTTGTTATTTCTACTATGATTTCATTATTGTTATATGTTCCATTGTAAAAGAATGTACATTTCTTACTTGCCCAAAATAAATACATAAATCAATCAATTAAGCTCACATGACAGAAGGTCGTGGGTTTGCAGTATTGAGGAATTTGTTGAGTTTTGTTGAGTTATATATATTTTTTTTCTTTCCTACTCACACAAATAATAGAGAAAACACAGAAAGTAGTAAACAAAGAAAAAAAAAAACATTGAAAAAGTAGGTGTGTCCAGACGTTGTTCTGGCAGTGGATCATGTTGAGTCTGATGTTGTGAGTCAGACACAAGCGAGTATCAAACTTTCTCTTATCACACAGACAGTTATTGTTTACAGTTACGGGTGCGAGCGGCAGGACCAGCACAAAAAAGATTTATTTAAACAGCTGAGAGTAAATAATAGTAGTTTGTTATTTCCATTTGCTCCTGATATAAATTTAGACCAATTTAAATCCAACTAAACCAATCAGAATCAAAACATGTTCAAGTGTTTAGTGTCAGTATTAGTATTTAGTCCTGATTAGTATCTGGGAATCTTTTTTTTTTTTTTTTTTTTGACAACCCTAGTCCTGACACTTCTCTGTAAACTAATAAAAAACAACAAGTAACACGTGGATCCTTGTGAGTTCAGATAATCACCAAAACACTGTGTAATGTTGTTCCAATAAGAAATATGTAATTTTGGAATAAACAATGATGCACTTTAATCTACATTATGTCACTCTTAAGTTTTTGTTTTTTTTTAGGGCCTATATTGCACTATTCTTCATCTGTTATAATTAGGGCTGGACAAAAATAAAAAATATTAATCACAATAATTAATTGTAAATGTAAATGAAAGAGACAAACAGCATTTCTTTCAGAGTTGAACCCTCAGAGTCTTCAAGGTTTTCTCTGAAGGCTCAAGAAAAAATATTGAATGAATTTATGTACAACTAATATATTTTTTCAATATTTTTTATGCAATGAGTAATAAACACGACACTAGTAATAATTTATAGATCCTTGTTTTAAACTTGGACTGATATTTCTTGGGAAACAAAGGGTTAATATAACGGAAACGGAAATGGACCAATCACAGTTTTTCTTCCAGTTGTATCTGGGTAAATCAGTGACTCCCCCCGCAGCGCTGAACTAAACAAACACCTGCAGGACCTTCGGCGGCTGGAACGAAGACCCGAGCGACTCAAGTCAACGTGGGGATGAGTTTGAGATTGACAGTTGTCTGAGCCAATCAGATTTCACTGAGTTATGGGCGGGATCAGGTCACGATGCTCAGTTCCTCCTCTAGTCATGTCATTAACTGAAATGAATGGAAGTTCCAAGCAGACGACTTGGACTTGACTTAGACTTATGGGCCAGTGACTTGAGACTCGGACTTGGACTCCCTTGTATTTGACTTGGGACTTGACTCGGACTAAAAACAGTCTTTTTATTCTATATAACTCGCTGGTAATGCCCTACATAACCTACGGTATTGAGATTTGGGGCAATACATATAAGACGAATACAAAGCCAATCTTTACCCTACAAAAAAAGGCAATAAGAGCATCACATTATCAACTTATAACGAACCAACCAATGCATTATTTATAAACCTTCAAACGCTGAAATTTTACGATTTAGTCGACCTGTACACTCTTAAAATCATGTTCAAAGTAAACAACAATCTCCTGTCGAAATCGTTACAGAACATGTTCAAAATCCGAAAGAGCCGATATGAGCTCAGAGGCACGACCGAGTTTATTAAAAAGAAAATCAGAACAAACATTATGAAATTTTGTAAATCTGTTAAAGGGCTGGAGCTCTGGAACAACTGGACAGAAAACCTCAAACTGTGCACCACTTTCTTTCACTTCATAAAGAAGTTTAAATGTTTAACTCTGGACAGAAACATGAAACAGGAGACTTAGTTTGTGCTGTAGAACTTTGTTGTTCTGTTACTGATTAGTTTGTTTCTTCCTGCTGTATTTATGAAGATGAACTGGTGTCAAGATGAAGCTCTGACAAAGGAATAAAGGGTAAAGGCAGAATAAGCTTAAGCTTCAGCCTGAACCTTTTCGGTCTGTATATGTTAAATATGACTGTTTATGAATTAATGTCAAAATATACCTGTGACCCAAATAAATAAATAAATAAACTTGAGGACAAAGATTTGAGACTTGCAAAACAAAGAGTGTGTAGTGAACTGACCAGTCTGCTGTCTCGGAGCTCCGACTTGAGCACGTTCTCCAGGGGAAAAGCCATGATGTTGTTGAGGTTCTGCACCTGGAACAGACAAAGACACAACCTGTAACATGATTCTAAACCATCGGTTCAGGCGGACGTCCATATTTGGACAATTTCCAGAGCCGTGTTTGTGGAGAGGAAAGGACGACCGTAAACACGAAGACGTCCTCCGGGGCAGAGAAGAACAATGAAACACTGAAGGACGACACGATGGTTTCAGGCTAAATGACTAAAAAATGTGTGGACATTTTGGATTCAGATGATTTCAGAAGGAACTCAGAGCTCCAGTGCAGAACGGTTTGTTCCATAAACAATTGTTCAACTCATCCATCACACTTGGCTAAGATCACAATTAATAGTAAATATATAAAAACACACGACTTTTCCAAGACAATCGTACTAAAACTGATAGATAAATGGAAGAGAGAATTACAATTTATTCATAATTCTGAAGAACGAAGCTCCTTTTAAAACGATTTGCTCTAGATCACAGGTGTCAAACATACGGCCCGGGGGCCAGATCCGGCCCTCCAAGACCTTTAATCTGGCCCTCGGTTGATTTTCTACTAAAATATTTTAATGATATTTTCTATTAAAATCGTGTTAATTTTCTGTGGTGTTTATCACAGCAGCGTCTCCAGCGTCTCTGTACGTGGCCCCTCCCACCAGAGCAGCACAAATGAAGACTTGTCTCTTTCCAAACGCTCTTAAAGGACGATCGTTTTGACTGTTGACCGTGACACCCTCATCAGAAAAATGTCCAACATGAGAAAAGTGGAGCCGAGAGCAGAATTTTACAACAAAAATGGACTTATTCCTGTTTACAAACAAGTTCATGTTAAAACTTTGTGTTGAAATTACATTTTTCTTAAAGTTTCAGGTTGTTCATAATATTATAATATTTTGTAAAAGAAAGAGTTCATCAATTAAAACAGATTTCTGTAATAGATTTGTGTTTCTCTGCACAAATATTTGAACTTAATTTTATTTTTGGGGTTTATATGACATGAGTTTTCTGATCCGGACACTTTGGGATCAAAGTCAGTTGGATACGACCCCTGGAATAAAATGAGTTTGACTCTCCTGATCTAGACCTTGGGACTAAAAGTCTCAGACCAGAAGGAAGCAGCTGAAACTCTGAGTTTAGTGGAAGTTTCACGTCTTTAAAATCCTCTGGAACGTCCTCTGTAACTGTTTTGAACAGAGTTCACCGACTGATTCAGGGAGTTCTTCTTCTTTTTATCAGAGACGCTCCCAAACCATGAGACCAGTGAAGAATTTAAAACTGATTATATGAACGTTTCATAGAACAGAGTCTTCATGGTTCTGTCTAAACAGCAGAAGAACAATTTCCTCAGACGATGAAGCACATGATGCGCACGATGATGCAGCACAATTATTGTCAAAAGCTCAAATTTGAACCAAAGAGTGTTTCAAGATATTTACAGAAGTCGACACTCACTGACCCCTTTTTATCTGTGACGTCAGACTGAGGCGTTCGCTTTCAAAAGTCAATAATCATTTCCTTTGTTTTGGAAACATTTAGGTGCAGATTTGACTCTTCACACCATTTTACAAAGTCCTCAACAATTGGCCAATGTTGGTTTTCATTTTTCTGGGGCAAGTTCACAAGACAGAATCATCCACATACTTTAATATTGTTCTATACCCACAGGTGCTGTGATACTTACTGATGTACAGTATGAGAGAACACATCCCTATAAACTGTAGTTTTTGGACTATAAGTCGCACTTTTTTCATGGTTTGTGTGTTTCCTGTGACTTATGCTCCGGTCTGACTTATATGATAACATTTTCAGACAGAAGCCGCGAGAGGTTCTAGTCTAAATTTCCCCAAAAAGTGTGACTTATAAATGTTTTTTCTTCTTCATTACACATTTTTTGGCTGGTGTTACTTATACTCCGGAGTGACTTATAATCCAAAAAATACAGTAATAACAGTGAAAAATGCCTCTGTGTTTTTGAAACTATAATGAAAATGTCATTGCACCAAGTTTCACCTGTGCCCACTGTTGTTTTAAAACTTTATTGCGTTTTGTTTCACGCGGATATCGGCTCAGATCCTCAAAATGCATTGATATTTTTGCACAGTATCTGGATCAACCAAAAGAATGTATCATGCGTTCATTCGTTTTTCAAATATAAAACCAAAAATAAAATAAAAAAACAGATAAAGATTTTTTTTGTTTTTTTGTGTGTTTAAATGAATCATGGAAAAAAAAAAAAAAGATAATGGCCGTTTCCTGTTTTCGTGACTTAAATTGAGATGCCGGACTGAACCAGGACTAAAACAAGTCCAGGACCAGACGGGAACCAGACCGGGACTGAGTCTGGGACCAGAACCAGGACTGAGATCAGGACTGAGACCGGGACTGAGGCCGGGAACAGACTAGGACCAGACCGTGATTGAGACCGGGACCAGACTGGGACTGAGACCGGGACCAGACCGAGACCAGACTGGGACTGAGACTGGGACCAGACAGACCGGGACTGAGACTGACAGACCCGAGACCAGACAGGACTGAGACTGGGACCAGACCGAGACCAGACTGGGACTGAGACTGGGACCAGACTGGGACTGAGACCCAGACCAGACCAAGACCAGACCAGGACTGAGACCGGACCTTGGACCAGACCGAGACCAGACTTGGACTGAGACCGGGACCAGACCGAGATCAGACCGGGACTGAGACTGGGACTAGACCGAGACCAGACTGGGACTGAGACTGGGACCAGACCAGGACTGAGACCAGAACTGAGATCAGAATTGAAACTGGGACCAGATAAAGACTGAAAATGTTTAGTCCTGTTTAGTCCTGTTTTAGTCCTGTTTTAGTCCTGTTTTAGTCCTGTTTTGTTTTAGTCCTGTTTTAGTTTTAGTCCTGTTTTAGTCCTGTTTTAGTCCTGTTTTAGTCCTGTTTTAGTCCTGGTTTAGTCCTGTTTAGTTTTCAGTCCTGTTTTAGTTTTAGTCCTGTTTTAGTCCTGGTTTAGTCCTGTTTTAGTCCTGTTTTAGTCCTGGTTTAGTCCTGTTTTAGTCCTGTTTTAGTCCTGGTTCAGTCCGGCATCGCAGTTTAAGTCACAGAAACAGTTCGTTATCTGTTTTTTTTCCCCATTATTTATTTAAACACAAAATCGAAAACTGACAAAAACAAATATTTATCTGTTTTTTCATTTTGGTTTTGGAGACAAATAATGAAGAAAATTGTTGTTTTTTTCATTTTCTTATTGTTGGTTTTATTTTGAAAAACAAATGAACGAACGACACACAGATTCAAAAGCACAAAAGACACAAGTTGGAAAATGCTGCGCTCTGTAAAAGTAATGAAAGAGTTAACGCTGCCGCCTCTTTCCTCACACAGGAAGAAAAAAAGTCCATGGGAGGAACCGTTCTGCTGCTGCTGGGTTTTATCAGACCAGGATTTCAACTTTTATCTGCTCTTTATTCTATTTCCAAAGCCCCAAAGACGACGCTACAGACTTTTGAAGGCTCCAGAAAAGTTTTAGACACTGTGTTAGTTTAAATAAATGTGCAAACTGCTGTAAATGCAATGTTTTTTTCTTAGGTTATTTGAGTTTTTCTGCTAAATGATCCGTTTAGAAATATTTACATGGCTAAAAAACTAAACAAAACTAGAAATGTTAAAGCAAACCTGTTTGAACCATGTCACCGCTGGATTTGGATTATAAATACACAGACAAAACAAGCACAATATGTCTGTGGTCAGTGTCGGGGAGTAACAGATTACATGTACCAGAGTAATCAGAGTACAAATGATGAGTAACTGTATTCAGTTACAGTTACTGTTTCAGTGAGTGGTAATTGGATTACAGTTACTTTGTTGAAATAAATGGATTACACAGAGGGATTTTCCTGTTTTCACATTTGGGGCTAAATCCTTTATTTTTATTTTTCTCCGTAATTCCACTCATTGTGACACTAAACCAGGTCTAAACCAGGTCTAAACCAGGTCTAAACCAGATCTAAACCAGGTCTAAACCAGGTCTAAACCAGGTCTAAACCAGGTCTAAACCAGGACTAAACCAGGTCTAAACCAGGTCTAAACCAGGTCTACTAAACCAGGTCTAAACCAGGTCTAAACCAGGTCTAAACCAGGTCTTAAACCAGGTCTAAACCAGGTCTAAACCAGGACTAAACCAGGTCTAAACCAGATCTAAACCAGGTCTAAACCAGGTCTAAACCAGGAGGTCTAAACCAGGTCTAAACCAGGTCTAAACCAGGAGGTCTAGGTCTAAACCAGGTCTAAACCAGGTCTAAACCAGGTCTAAACTAGGTCTAAACCAGGTCTAAACCAGGTCTAAACCAGGACTAAACCAGGTCTAAACCAGGTCTAAACTAGATCTAAACCAGGTCTAAACCAGGTCTAAACCAGGACTAAACCAGGTCTAAACCAGGTCTAAACCAGGTCTTAAACCAGGTCTTAATCCAGGTCTTAAACCAGGTCTTAAACCAGGTCTAAACCAGGACTAAACCAGGTCTAAACCAGGTCTAAACCAGGACTAAACCAGGTCTAAACCAGGACTAAACCAGGTCTAAACCAGGTCTAAACCAGGTCTAAACCAGGTCTAAACCAGGTCTAAACCAGACTAAACCAGGTCTAAACCAGATCTAAACCAGGTCTAAACCAGGACTAAACCAGAGGTCTAAACCAGGTCTAAACCAGGTCTAAACCAGGTCTAAACCAGGTCTTAAACCAGTCTAAACCAGGTCTAAACCAGGTCTAAACCAGGTCTAAACCAGGTCTAAACCAGGACTAAACCAGGTCTAAACCAGGACTAACCAGGACTAAACCAGGTCTAAACCAGGACTAAACCAGGTCTAAACCAGATCTAAACCAGATCTAAACCAGGTCTAAAACCAGGTCTAAACCAGGTCTAAACCAGATCTAAACCAGGTCTAAACCAGGTCTAAACCAGGTCTAAACCAGGTCTAAACCAGGTCTAAACCAGGTCTAAACCAGGTCTAAACCAGGCCTAAACCCAGGACAAAACCAGGTCTAAACCAGATCTAAACCAGGTCTAAAACCAGGTCTAAAACCAGGACTAAATCAGGTCTAAACAAAGACCAAACCATGTCTAAACCAGGTTTAAACCAGGTCTAAACCAGGTCTAAACCAGGATTTAACAGGACTAAATCCTGCTGTGTGGACGTGTTTCTTCGTTTTCTATCAATAATATTTTTAATGTGGTTCAGTAAAGACTCGGCCTTTTCATTTTCTTTTATCTTATGTGAAGATTTCCTCGTGTTTGTTTCTCTACAGCAAATCGAGTAATCCAAAGTAATCAGATTACATTACTCACTTTAAATAATTTAATGGATTACGTTACAAACTACATTTTGGTGTGTGTAATCTGTAATCTGTAATCTGTAGGGATATACATTTTAAAAGTCACCTTCCCGACACCGTCTGCGGTAAATCGAATGACGTAAACTGTTTGAGAGACGTTCTGAGCTCGCGCGTCGGTCGTTCTGAGCTCGCGCGTCGGTCGTTCTGAGCTCGCGCGTCGGTCGTTCTGAGCTCGCGCGTCGGTCGTTCTGAGCTCGCGCGTCGGTCGTTCTGAGCTCGCGCGTCGGTCGTTCTGAGCTCACGCGTCGGTCGTTCTGAGCTCACGCGTCGGTCGTTCTGAGCTCGCGCGTCGTCGTTCTGAGCTCGCGCGTCGGTCGTTCTGAGTCACGCGTCGGTCGTTCTGAGGTCACGCGTTCGGTCGTTCTGAGCTCGCGCGTCGGTCGTTCTGAGCTCGCGCGTCGGTCGTTCTGAGCTCGCGCGTCGGTCGTTCTGAGCTCGCGCGTCGGTCGTTCTGAGCTCACGCGTTGGTCGTTCTTACCAGGTTCCTGAGCAGAGCGCCGACCTCGCGGCTGAACACGGACAGGTTGAGGAAGCCTGTGGACACCTCGTGGTTGTCCTGGCTCAGGTGACTGTTCCCCAGGTTCTCCAGCACCTCCATGTACTGCTCCGAGTGCTCCACGTGGGCTGCAAACACACACACACACACACGGTTACACATCACAATGGAACACAATCACAACACTTTTTGAATCATGATATGTCGCTATGTTATTAGGTTCTTTTTCTCAGACCTGGAGCGTCATTTCATCCCTGACAGTTTGTTCTGTTCACCAGCGTCTTCCTCAGAGTCACGTGATGTTTCTGTGTCGTGTCTGGTCAGATGATTTAAACAGGTTTTGGAGGTGGAGGCAGGACGACAGCGCCACCTGCAGTCGCACTTCCTCAGGACAGAATCCCAGGTGTGTGAGAGTAAAAAAGCCCCTCGTCCCGGTTTACAGTCTGTGGGCACGTTTCCGTATTTCGATTGCTTCTTTAATCCAGCGGCGATGTTTGTTTTCCTCTGTCCCGATGATGTTTGCTCCGTCCCCGTCCATAACGTGGTTCTCTCTTTTACATGGGTCAGAAACGGCCGATTTGAGTTGTTCCTGTTCTGCTTTGTGTTTCGCCTTCGCTGTTTCATTCTGTTCTATGTTCCTTTTTTCGTGGACTGAACGCCCTCCCTGTTTCCCCGATGTGTGTCTTATTGCAGGACATGCAGGGGATTTCGTATATTACATTACATTTATTCTCCGGTTCTATTTTGTCTTTCGGGTGGACTAGTAATTGTCTGAGTTTTTTGTTCAGTTTCACTCGTGTGTTGATGTTGTGTTTTTTCATCGCCCTCTGTACTTTTCCTGTTATGCCCCTGATGTTCCCAGGCCTGTGCTCATTTTCTCTGTTTTGTTTTTGTTTCTTTGGTTCTGTTTTTCTTTCTCCTTAACCTGTTGTTACCTCCACCAAGGAGATTATGTTTTTGCCGGCGTTTGTCTGTTTGTCTGTTTGTCTGTTTGTCTGTTTGTTTGTTTGTTTGTTTGTCTGTTTGTTTGTCTGTTGTCTGTTTGTCTGTGTCTGTTTGTTGTTTGTCTGTTTGTTTGTTTGTTTGTTTGTTTGTTTGTCTTTGTTTGTCTGTTTGTTTGTTGTTTGTCTGTTAGCAACATAACTCAAAAAGTTATGGACCGATTTTGATGAAATTTTCAGGATTTGTTGGAAACGTGAAAAGGAAGAACTGATTTCATTTTGGGGCTGATCCGGACGAAATCCTGGATTCTAGATCACTTTGAAATTTTAGTTAACATTGTGGTAAATGGGGCCAAAACGTTTGTTTCTCAATATCTCAGTTAATTATTGACCAAACCCCATGAAATTTGACTCAGGGATGGACAATGGGATCCTCTTTCATATTCCAAATTGAAAGATACGAGACAAATATTTATGGAAAACACAATTAATATGAGGGGGACTGTAGTCCTTGGCGGAGTCTGCGCTCTCTGACTGCTTTTCTAGTTTCCCTTTGTTTATTGCCCATTTTGGGTATTGGCATTGGCCGTTTCTGACCAGTGTAAAAGAGAGAAACACGTTATGGACGGGGACGGAGCAAACATCATCGGGACAGAGGAAAACAAACATCGCCGCTGGATTAAAGAAGCAATCGAAATACAGAAACGTGCCCACAGGACTGTAAACCGGGACGAGGGGCTTTTTTACTCTCACACACCTGGGATTCTGTCCTGAGGAAGTGCGACTGCAGGTGGCGCTGTCGTCCTGCCTCCACCTCCAAAACCTGTTTAAATCATCTGACCAGACACGACACAGAAACATCACGTGACTCTGAGGAAGACGCTGGTGAACAGAACAAACTGTCAGGTATGAAATGACACTCCAGGTCTGAGAAAAAGAACCTAACAACATAGAACACAGGTGTCAAACATAAGGCCCGGGGGCCAGATCCGGCCCTCCAAGACCTTTCATCTGGCCCTCGGCTAATTTTCTACTCAAATATTGTAATGATATTTTCTATTAAAATCGTGTTAATTTTCTGTGGTGTTTATCACAGCAGCGTCTCCAGCGTCTCTGTACGTGGCCCCTCCCACCAGAGCAGCACAAATGAAGACTTGTCTCTTTCCAAACGCTCTTAAAGGACGATCGTTTTGACTGTTGACCGTGACACCCTCATCAGAAAAATGTCCAACATGAGAAAAGTGGAGCCGAGTGCAGGATTTTACAACAAAAATGGACTTATTCCTATTTACAGACAAGTTCATGTTAAAATATTGTGTTGAATTTGCATTTTTCTTAAAGTTTCAGGTTGTTCATAATATTATAATATTTTGTAAAAGAAAGAGTTCATCAATTAAAATGATTTCTGTAATAGATTTGTGTTTCTCTGCACAAATATTTGTTATTTTTAAGGTTTATATGCCATGAGTTTTCTGATCCGGCCGCTTTAGGATCAGAGTCGGTTGGATACGGCCCCCGGACCAAAATGAGTTGACACCCCTGATCTAGAATATTGGAAGACCAAATGAACCTCATTGGACTATATGATATATCGCTACAGAGAAATATTCCAACTTTTTACCTTTAAAATGAGTGATCTGCCACAAATAATGATAATCAAGTCTCACGTTATTACTTAAAAATGCCAAAATTCTATTCATTATTGCAAAGAAAATGTACACATGATAAATACTGAGCCCCAAAATACATTGTTCCAGTTTTATACTTGAAGTGGACCAAACAGAAAAACAAAGACAAGGTATAAAATAAGTTTTAAAAAAGATATAATTTAACAAAGGCTCAAATTAGGCAAATTATTAAACAGAAAAAAAAAAAGCTGGGATAACTTAAATCAAGCTGAACAGAAAAAAAAAAACTAACCCAACCAGAAAAAGGAACAAAAGTGTTTAAATACATGAGGACCAACTAAAACTAAACACAAGAAGGAGGAATTACACTAAATAATTAACTAAAACTACTAACTTAATCAAAGTAAAGGCAAATAATTATAATACAGAAAATACAAGTGATAATAAAGTGACCTTATAGCAAACTAGACAAACTAAATCAATAAAACTAACTAAATAGTGCTCCCTCCCCCCTTTTTGAGTCATGATGGTTTCTCCCGTTTTTTTGTTTTTTTTTTTTTTTGAGCACTGGACAGAGAAAAAACAAAAAGAACAAGTGTAAGTAAATCAGATTTCTATCAACTAAAATGTGTGCACTCAAATGAGAATATAAATAAAATTATATAATTAATTATATAATTAATTAAAATAAATAAATTAAAGTATGTGTAACTTAATGTAAACGAAATGAAATGACATTATACTGACATTATGGAGCAGTGGAAGAGGAATCCACCACAATACTGAACAATTAGTTATATTTAGGAGTTTTATTGTGACAGGTCTAATCACACACAGTTGTTCGGTTAATTCAGCGCCGTCTGCAGGAATCTCTCTGTCTCCGTGGGGATTATTCTGAGCTTCTGATGATCCGTAACATCCACAATAATGAACTATTCTTTGTTCAACAGTGATGTAAATGAAGAGTAAAGTGTCTGAGATCCAGCTGCAACTCAGAACTAAATACACCATGATGTTTCACAGTGTAGAAAAGTCTAGTTTAGTCTTACAGACATGTGCTTTCTGTCAAATGGTTAAACTCATGGACATGTTTAAAAACTACAGCGTTGTTTAAACATGATAAACACACAAATCTGCACAATCACAAGTTTTCGAGTGTTTTTTCCCCAGAATCCTTCAGCTCTTTGTGCCCGAGGAGCCCGAGGCGGCACAAACATGTGGAGTGAGTTATCGTACGAGCCGATCCCGTCCACTGTGTTTAATGATCACTCTCCCAGAGGTCGTGACCCCTGGGCTCTGTCTGGTGATAAAACAGAGGGGGGGGGGTTGCCTGGACTCTGCCTGGCACCCGCGGGCGTCCTCGTTTTAAAAGGTGCAGCTGTTTAAACTCGGAGCTTCTAATAGAAACCTGAGTTTGGTGCGTGCGCTTGACGGACAATAACAGTAACAGAGTGAACCTGGCCGTGTCCAGACTCAACAACCCGGACAGACCGAGGAGCCAAACCAGGACACAGGGACACGCTGCAGACAGGAACATGTTTGTCTTCTGTGGGGCAGGGAATCGTATTCACGACGTTGGCCAACTCCTGTAATTAAACTTTAGCTTTGCAAGTCAAGACTAAGTGTTTATTTAAAAGGAGCAAAGGGCCTCAGTGACAGACTGATGAGAGAAACATGGTTTACCTCGTGTCTAAACAAAAAACAACAGACAACAGCCACATGAGGAACAAACACGTGACGTTCAGAGACCAGCAGCCCCACACAGGTGCAGACAACAGGTCAGACACGAGACTGACCTGGTGCAGAGATGCCCCACGAAGCAGCAGCCAGGATGTAGAACAAGACCTGACCACCTGACGCCCCTGATGCTCGTCTTTGACGCCGTGAACGAACGGGAGAAAAATATTTGACACGCGTCCGTTGCCCTGGAAACAAGAGCCCGGTCCTGGTCTTTTCCCGAAACAATGTCAGACCAGACTGAGAGACTTTAGTGTTTTTATGACATAAAACATCAGCGGAGGAAATCAGGTCGACGACTGGAGCGTGTTTATATTTATATTTATAATGACACTGGATCAGTCCTGGTTTAGTCCCAGTCTAGTCCTGGTTTAGTCCTGGTCTAGTCTCGGTCTAGTCCTGGTCTAGTCCTGGTTTAGTCCTGGTTCGGTCCTGGTGTAGTCCTCACGATCGTCTCGGTGATTGTGGTGTATATATTTATGCTCTGTTCATGTTTGTGGTTCTGGTTCTGGGGTTTTTCTTCCTGATAATAACGTCGCTGCGTCTCTGGATACTCGTCCCTGATTGGTTGACGTGGCTCGTCTGACGCGAAAAGTTCAGCATTTTCAACTTCTTGACGCTGACGCCAAAACGCAGGACGCTCGAGTCGCGCGTCCACATCGACTTTACATAGAAACTGGGCGCTTTGACACTTTGGTGTGAACGAACCTTAACAGTGTCCATAAAGCTCTGGCAGAAAAATCTGTTTTTCTCAAATAACTTTAAAAAAATCCATTTAGGGTCATGGAGTCAATGAAAGTTGAATATAAATGTTGCTGTTGC